GCAGGGTTGGAAGCACTCCATTGTCTAAATAAAGAAATCTGAAGACGGCCACCTGGCCAGACAATTGGAAGAGATCCTTATACGTGTCCATCCCAGAGAAAGGTGACCCAACAGGATGTGGAATCAGAGGGAAGTAAAATTTCATTGACCATAACTCCACAATGACTGCAGCCTAGAGACAGGGAGTGGTCAGGAATTCAAGCTGGATTCAGGAGAAGATGTGGAACAAGAGACATCATTGCTGTCAGATGGGTCTTGCAAAGTACAGAATGCCAGAAAGATGTTTACTGATGTTTTGTGGACTCTGAAAAGGCTTTTGACTCTGTGGGTCATAACAAACTATGGATAACATTGCAAAGAATGGGAATTCCAGGCTGCTTAATGGTGCTCGGGTGGAACCTGTCCACAGCCCAAGAGGCAAGTTGTCTGAGCAGAACAACAGTGTCTATATACTGCCTGGCTTGGAGTGCAGCAGAGGGTCATCTTTCACCCTGCTCATCTAATCTGTGTGCTGAGCACGTGGACTATAGGACGGAGAACATGGCACCAAGGAGGGCTCATCAGCAACCTGTGATATGCAGATGACGTCACCTAGCTTGAAGCAATGCCGGTGAAGATCAAAAGCAGCAGCCTTACCTACGTACAGGTGTTCAGTACAGGTTCAGTGTGCGGAAAACAAAATTCCTCACAACTGGACCAATAGACAGCACCATGATAAACAGAAAAGAGAGAAGTCAAGGGTTTCATGTTACTTTCACCTGCAATCAACACTCATGGAAGCAGCCATTAAGAAGTCAAATGATGTACTGTATTACATTAGGCAAATCTGCTGTACCAGACCTCTTTTTTAAAGGGTTAACGAGCCAAGAGGTCACTTTGAAGACGTAGGTGTACCTGACTCGAGGCAGGGTAGTTAGAATCACCTCACATGCCTGCGAGAACTGAGTAATGATGAAGGGAGCCTGGAGAATCGCTGCATGTGGACTGGGATGTTCGTGAAGAACACTGACAGGACCACGGACGGCCAGAAGAACAAACACATGCCTTGGAAGAAGCACGACCCGAATGCTCTCTGAGGCCAAGGATGGGGAGACTTTGTCCCACTTTGTCCTTTGGGCCTGTTGCCAGGAGGGATCCGTCCCTGGACAAGAACGCCATGTTTGCTAAAGTGAAGGGTCAGTGAAAGAGGAAGACCTCAATGAGGCGGGCTGACCCAGTGGCGGTAACAATGGGCTGAGGGCTGGGGTCCCTGGCTTAGTAGGCGTCTAATGAAAGGGGACTCAGAATCACCATATAACTAGGATCTCAGGGCTCCCCTAGCATTCATTCATATGCCCGGTATTACTCTGATAGGCACGTACCTTCCCTTGTAAGGAATATTACAGGAAAATCTGCCCTAGAATTCACTCACCCCCCACCCGCTATGCGCAAGGTAAAAGGAGATCAAGTAAGAAATCAGTCTGTACATGGATTGCAACTCCCAGCTGGACTGTACACTTCATGTCATATGAAGAGTATAAACTCTTCATATCAACAGTACCTGAGATTCTGAAATTGGATAAATTGATATTATCAATGCAATAGACATACCCCAGGGAGATGATTGACAATGTTTTTCTTTTTTGCTTGTTTTGTTTTGGGGGGTTGTTGTTGTTCTTGATGGTTTTGTTTTTTTCTCATAACATGACCACTAAAGTTAACCAGAGTTTTTCATAAGCCCTGGACAAGCAGATGGATTCTGGGTCCCTACTTAATTCTAGCCCCAATCCAAGAAGAGTTAGTTCTTATGAACATGGCCTTGGCTTGATACTGCCTTCATGAAGAGATCTCTGAAGATAAGGGTGCTACAGCAAAGTGTGGTGAAGGCAGCAGATGGTGCCTGGTGTCTTCTGAGGTCTTAAAGGCTTGTATCCAAACAAGCAGCCATCAAGTGAGGCGTCAACTAAGTCCACACAAAAGAAGCACACCAGCCTGTGTGATCCAAAGATGATGATAACAAGATCCAAGGATGACCACGACGGGAAAAGTCTCAGGGTTTAAATTGGGAACACCCAATTTGTAGAAAGCTATAGAGGACAGTGGGCACCCAAAAGCCATCTGCCGAGTATCTAATCAGATGCCCCTGGCCACAGACAGTGGGGGGGCGGGGGGTGGGACTTGAACAGCTGTACTTTGAGACAGAGATAACTGTAAACTTGATTATGGTGGCTTGAAACACGGTATAGTATGATACTTAGTCAGTTGACCTCCCTCTTGACCAAACCTGAGTTTTTTCTAGGCTTAAATATTTCTTGCTTGTTCCATGACAGAAATGTCTTCTCTGGCTTTTTAAATATTGCTGGTGGCCTTTTTTTTACCCCTTAGTCTTTATTTTTAGATTGTTATTATTTTCTTTGTCGTCTTTCTATTTTTGTTCATTGTTTCTGTTGGGTTTCCCAGTTTGTGAAGCACAGAGGAGTGGATGCACAGAGACCATAACTGGTGCAAGGGTCCACTGGAGACGAAGGGTGGAAAAGGTGAGGGGACAAACAATGAACGCAGGAGGAGGGGGAGGAGCACTAGAACTGACTGTGATGATATATATACAACTCTTTTTAAAAGTAACTTAATTATGGAAGTATGTGATAAGTGAATTTTATATCAAGAACACTATTTCTTTTTAAAAAAAAGAAACCAAAGTTGACCAATGGTTACCATTGGTGAAGGTTTTACATAGGAAGCATTGAGTTTATGTTAATTGTGGTGGAATGATTTGGGAGAAGATATCAATAACGGTTGCACAACATGAAGAGTATAATCAATGGCACTGAATTATACATGTAGAAGTTGTTGAATTGGAGAACATTTTGTTGGGTATATTTTTGGCACAATTAAAACATACATGTTAAAAAAGTTGTAAATAAAAAACTTACACGAATAACAAAGAGTACAAAGAAGAAGAAAATGTTCTAAATTGATTGTGGTAATGATTGTACAACTAATCTTGATATGACTGAACTGTGGAATTGTATGATGTGTGGATGAAGTCCCAATGAAACTTTTTAAAAAATGGATTCAAATAGACCAACAATTATGAGAGTGGCAATGGGCTGGGCAACTTCTAGTTCTGTTGAACACAGGGTTGCTATGAAGCAGTGCTAACAACAACACCATGTTTTCTCGGTCCTGAGATACAATTTCTCCCCATTGGGTTTGAAATTGGAATGGGTCGAAACTAGAATGCAGCTTTAAAATGGCTTAATGGTTTTGAAATTTGAATGCAACGTTCAAAATCAGCATCTTTTTATAGTAGCAGTATTTTTATTCCCCTAAAAACTACTGTTTAATTAAAAATGCCTCACAGTTCATAGCCTCTTCGACTTGAGAATTGAGGTTCTAGCGGTGCTTGTGGGAGATGGTGAGGAAGTCAGATGGGACAGGAAGAGATAGGCTAGTAGCCCTTCCTATTGTCAGAAGAGGATGCCAGCCCTTGCCTTCAACCATCTATCCGATTCCAAATCCTTACCTGCTGGCATCCTGCCTGGCGTTCATGACCTAGCTCGGGCTACACTTCCCCAAGAAGCCTTTCCAGGTCCTTTGGTGTGAATCTTAACCCTTGTTCTTCCATTCCTATCAGAAGATTTCATGATAACATGACACAGTAAACAGTTGACTAAACACTTGATGTGGGGAGGGAGGAGCATCCTTGCTTTATGGATGAAGCCTCTGAGGCCCAGAGAAAAACTCAAAGTGTCTCTGAAGGTCAGTGGAAAGCAGGGAAGAGAAGTCAGTCTCCAGGTTCAATCTATCAAGACTAAGTACCGCCAGCTGGTTGGCAGGCAGGTGACCCAAGTCTTCCCTGGGAGGAAGTGGCCTGTGGGAAACAGAACCAGGAAGAGAGTGGATGCAGACAAATTCTCTAGGCTCATGTTTAAGGAGTCTGCGTGGCCGAGGTTATGCAAACGAGGTTATGCAAACGGGGGAGAGATGCATTCGCCCCTCACTCTGGTTCCAGTCGCCATGGGAGAGGTGGGCACGTGCATGTCTTGTCTGCCGTTTCTTTAATTTACCCCTCATTCCATTGTGGAGGCTGATCCCCCACAGTGGCACTCGAAGTTGTGGTCAGGGTTGCTCATGATTCCACGTGAGAAGTGGTATCTGAGCTCAGAGAAATGACATGTTCACCCAGAGCCCCCTAACTCCCAAGCAGCAGGGATCAGATTGGTGCTGCTGACTGCTAGTCTGTCCAGCCCCGACCCCTATCGCATTCCAGTGCTTCCAGGTCCCGGGCCAGGCCTGTCTCCACTCCCTTAAGCAGAAATGGCACGAGCCTCTCCCAAACCACAGCTATCTCTCTGCTCTTAGTGATCACAGGCGTGTAGTCTTGTCCCTCCAGGAGGCCCCACCAGCACACTCACTCTCAGAGGCAGAACTAAACCTGCCCCCGCGCAGGGGATGTGTGAAGAAGGGGCACCTCCCATGCCTCTTTAGACCTCAAATCCAGAGCTGGGGCTGGAGGGCAGACTGGAGTCATGCCCCGGTGGTGTTGCATTTGACCAGCCACCTGGGGACACACTGCCGTCTCCGGCTTGTGCGAAGACCAAAAGGACTCATGCTTGGGAAGACCCGTGGTGCATTTAAACTGACCTGGAAAACAAACAGAAGTGAAGGGGCTGGAGGCTAGCTGCTTGCTGTCAGGCAGAGCACAGGACCTCTAAACTGCTGTTCTCTCGTGTGTAAAACGGGGCAAGATCCACTTCATGCGACTGTGAGTCCCGAGAACCGACTCTTTCTTTTTCAGGCTGCGCTGGCTTTTATTCTGTTTCTCCTCCCAGCAGAAACGGGCTCCCTGGGAGCTGCCACAGGTAGTCGCCTCTGGCTGTGCCCGCAGGTTGCAGGTTCCGTGTGACCCAGGGTGTGGCCGGGTCCTGACTGGGGTTGCAGTGATGAGCAGGCACAGAGGCGAGCCCAGTGGGGGTCAGGAGGACGTGGGGGACATTTCCAGCTTGAGTCCTTGCTGGTTAAGGCTTCCCCAGAGACTGAAATCCATCCACTCCTATCTGGCCATCTCCGTTGCTATTACCTGCCTGGAGGAGGTCATTTTCCTCCTTGTCTGGCAGCACCTGGGCTGAAGGGGAGTTCTCCAGAAACTGCTTCAGCACATCTTCCTCAATGAAGCCCCTCCTGTCCTGCTCCAGGATGGCGAACACCTGCTTGATGTGGTCCTTGTCTGGGTTGGAGCGGCCCACCTCGGAGAAGAAGGTGTTGTAGTTGAAGCGGCCAGGATCTTTGCAGCGGGACAGGGCTGTCCCGACGTCCTTTGAGAGGATGATGTCAGTCATCGCCACAGCTAGGCTTCCCAGTTGAGCGGCTGCCTGGGGACGCTGAAATTTTGGAATTCGGCCTGAGTCTCCTGTACCTCTGGAGGTAAGTTTAGCTGTGGGACCGGTCTTCTGGTTTGACTTGGGAAGGGGACTGGACAAGGTCTGAACTCTTCCCAGTCACTTCTCCCCAGGACGCTGCTGAGAAGTCTGGTAACTTTTCGAGAACTGAGTCTTAAACAAGATCCGAGCTCCAAACCACTCACTGCCCTCGAGTCCACTCTGACTCACAGCGACTGTAGGACTGAATATATAACTGCCCCTATGGGTTTCCCAGACCGTCACTCTTGACAGGATTTGAAACCCCCCCCTTTCTTCCTGGAGAGACTGGTGGTTTTGAACTTCTGACCTTGCGGTTGGCAGCCCAGGGCTCCTTGAAGCAAGATCGTACACATAAAGCATCTTCAAACAGCACCAGCATACTGGAGGCACTCAAGACATGTTGGATTCCTTCCTAGGTGTAAAGGTCATGATCTGCAGCAAAGAGGAATCAATACCTTCATTTTATTATTTAAACCGGAGGCTGACCTCCACGTGATGGGCAGGGATGTTAATCTCCAGTGAGCACTGAGATCGCCTCTGATTTTAAAGTGCCAGCCACCATCTATCTTCCAGGGAGACGACGGCAAAGCTGGAAAAAGGGCTTGCAGTTCCTGAGGGAAATGCCCCCGGGTGATGGGGTGGTTTGGAAGCACAGACTTCTCCTTCCACACAGTTTCAGGATTGTTCCCTTTCTCTATAAAAAGGCTGGAGCCGAGATACCAGTAGGCTCTAGAGAGAGCAATGAAAAGTATACGGGTTGCGGTTTGAGAAGAGAAGGCAGCAAAGGGAAAAACACGGCAGGAATGAGTGGGCTTGGAAAGGAAGGGGTGATAAATAGGAGGTGATATATGGTGGGGGTGGGTGGTGAGTCCATGCCAAGGTCGTTATTGGGGGGGGGAGGCCGCAGTGGCAAAGGGATCATGTCTCCAGACTTGGAACGCTTTGGAAGCGAGGCTCTACAAATCACAGACATGGTTCCTCATCACGATGCAGTTAGTGGTGCAGGGTCTGCTTTCCGGTCTGACTGTGGTCTCTCATTTCCTAAACCCAGTGACAGACTGGACTTGGCCATTCGCATTTCACTTCCAAAGGAACCGTCCCGATGGCCAGGCCACAGAGGTACAAGTTCTAGGCTCACGTCATTTAGGGCAGCCCTCGGCTGATGGTCCCTGACTGAGCAAGACGTCCAGAGCTTTCATGGATTGGCCCCTAACTCCCTTTCTATCTTCATCTCTGGATGCTTGCCCCTCCCTCACAACCCCATCCACTCTGAGGTTCTTCATGGTTCTAGAACACACCATTTGTTCATTAAGTCGACCAATCTGGAGCATCTATTAGACATCAGGCACTCGCTTTGGCAGTAGGAACGCAGCCTCAGAGAACCACAGGCCCTAGAACTTCTACAGAAGTGTAGGAAGACCATGTCTGGTAAAGGGAGGTGCCCTTCAAAAGGGTGGGGAGAGAAGGTCTCTCTGAGGAGGTAATAAATGAACCCAAGTGATCCAGGAATGAGCTAAGAGGTACCTGAGGCACCAGCATAAGAAGCTTCTCTGAATGAGCCTGGTGGGTGGAGAAAACTGAAAGGCGAGAGTACTCGTTGGGCAGAATGAAAAAGTCAGAGACCGGGGAGAAGGCCAGAGGCTGGCCTGCACTAGGCCACGGAGGGGCCTGAGCACTCCGGTCAGGGGCTTCGATTCCGATCGAAGTGTGAGGGGAAACTCCTGAGTGTTTTAAGAGGAGCTATGGGATCACTCTATCTGTTGGGTGGAAAATAAGCGTGGTGGGGCCTGGGGATAAGGTAAGAGATGACGGGGGCTTGGAATAGGGGTGGCAATAGCAGCGGTGGTGAGAAACAGCAGGCGGCCGGAGATGAGGGAGACACTGGCCAAAGCTCCTTGAGCCAGGCCTTGAATAATGATCCGTGTGTCTTACAGCTTGCTACTGCGTCAATGTCCTGTCCTAGTAGCCAGAACACTTAGCATAATGGCTGGCATGGTGTGCACTAAATGGAACTGGAAAAACAATAACAAATCTGGAAGAAAAATGTTTTCATGTAACTAATTTTGAGTTCTCTATTTCAGAATGCTATTTAATCCTTTCCAAGATGGGAAATTTATACACGTTACAGAAAATGTGGAAACTAGAAATGCCGAAGGAACTGTTACAGTTCCTCGCACTCCCACATCTAGTGGCAGGCATACTATGTTGGTGTGCGTCTCCCGTCTTTTTGTGTGCTTTCATACAAAAGGTGGGCCAGGGCAGCTTGGTCTAACGCTGGTCAGTTTGAGAATCCTCTCCCTCCACTAACTGGCCTTGGACAAGTCACCTTCTCTCTCTGGTCCATGCAATGGGGATCTCAACCTAATGTTAAATTATGAGCCTCTATGAGATGGGTCACCCAAGGCACTTACTATACCGTACGCGCTCGATAAAGAGTAGCTGCTCTGAATAAAACAAAGTCTAAATCCTACAACATGCAATTATAAGGAAAGCTTTCAACATCTTACTTTTTAGGAAATAAGGGTGTGGGGTTTTTTGTAAATCCACAATCTAACCATGTGTGCGCGCCCAAAGAAAACCCACACCAAGCATGGGAGTTGACCAAATACGATGCAAGCAATAACAAATATTTTTAAACCCCAAATTTTACGGTAACACAAAACAGAAATGTGCCAAGAACTAACACCAGACCCCGGCCTGTTTAATAACTCTCTCCCCTATAAAGCTGACATACTTATGGGATTACCGTTTACATCAGTAACGGTTTAAAGGGCAGACACTCCCACCTGCCAAGAAATGAGGCTTTCAGGTTTTCCATCTCAGGTTTGTCTGTGTGGTGCGACCCAGCAGGCCCTTCTCTCCCGAGGCCTCGGCCACCATGGAGTGGTGGCAACCTGAGTGAGCTGCCCTCCCTCTCCAGTTTTCTACAAAATGGGAGCTGGTCTACCTGGTCCCCAAGAGTCCTTCTGCTCCAAAACCCTACCACGCCATGCACGCTTGCAGTTGACACCCAGAGTACTGACTTGAGGAGACATTACATTGTCATCAGATACTCAGAATACCTTAGTCTCCTAATTACCATCTACAGGTTTGGGGGAGGGGGGGAACGAACCACACATTACATGGGTGCACTTCTAACACTCAGATAACAACGCCCCTTTTCATTGAGAAGTGAGAGACTAACTGCAAACCACATGGAGTCATAAAACCCCACCATCCATACCACTTTCAAAGGTCACTCTAAGTGCCTGTTTCTCAGTGGCTTCAACCTGTTCCAGCGGCTCTATATTGGCAACGCCGGTGGTGAATTTGGCTTCACTTTCTATACCATCACCACTCATTAATGAAGTGAGGTAATGTATGGGAAAACAAATGTTACTGCTTTTATAGGTTTCTGTAAAGGCGGTGGCCTGCCTCTTTGACCTCCATGCAATACTGGCCAGCTACTCTGAGCTGCCAGCTTCCCAGCGCGTGTCAGAACCACACGGGTTCTCAGAGGGCTGATAGCCAGAGGAAGACCCAGGCAATCCAGGGGGTAGAACATGACCTGGACTTCGGGGGCAAAGAAGCCCCCAAAGTAGTGGTTCTCAGCCTTCTTAATGTTGTGACCCTTTCATACAGCTCCTTTATGTTATGGTGACCCCCAACCATAACATTTTCATGGCTCCTTCATAACTGTAACTTTGCTACTGTTATGAATCGGGTGACCCCCGTGAAAGGGCTGGTTGACACTCCCCAAGGGTTCGCGGCCCACAGGTTGAGAACTGCTGTCCCAAAGTGACAGCTACATGGAGGCCGGAAGGAAATGTGAGACTAAAGAAAGAGCAAGCCTCACACTTTGTACTCTAGGCATAGGGGGTCATCACCTCAGTGCTCCCCTGCCTCCTGTCTGGATACTGCCCATGCGTCCATTGTTCTCGGGTGAATGCCAACAGTGACCCTTACACTGTCAAATGTACCAATTATACATCTTCCCATTAGCTCTGACCCTGGCAGTCCCTCTGGCTTGCTGCTGGCCTCTTTCCTCCTCCGTGTGACTCAGCTCATCAGGGCAAGGGCTACCTTCTCTTTGTATGCATGACAGCTCCCTCAAACCCATGCTCAGCAGATTGAGCCCAGGGGGCAGTCAATACCATATTTCAAATGAAAACGAAAAGCCAAATAGAAGCGACAACAAATTATATTTGCACATCTTTTTACATCCTGGCTGGCATGTCGGCTCCATCTTTCACCGCTGGGTAACTGTGCTCCTGAGGTCTCCCTTAGAAACGGGACACTGGTGTTTCCGTAGGGGGAGCCTAAAAGAGCATCACGAATGCTTTGGTGGCATATACTGAGCACTCAAAGGCAGCAACTCTGTGGATGACTCCTCCGCCTCCTACTGCCGCGGCCCTGTTTTGCAAAGAAACCCCCGACACACACCCATTGGGACTCAATAGCACGCGCCAAATCAATGCTCCTCTAAAGTGAAGAGTAAGGATGTCATGGTGAGGACAAAGGTGCCCCTGACCCAAACCATGGTGTCTTCAATCTCCTCCTACGCAGAGAACGCTGGGCACTGAATGAGGAGGACCAGAGAAGAATGGGTGTGTTTGCTTTATGGTGTCGGAGAAGAATATTTAAAGTACCAGACTCTGTCAAAAGAACGCACAGATCTGTCTTGGAAGAAGTGCAGCCAGAATGCTTCTTAGGGGCAAGGATGGCGAAACTTCGTCTCACATACTTTGGACATGTCATCAGGAGAGACTGGTCCCCAGAGAAGGACATCATGCTTAGTGATGCAGGACCGCGAAAGAGAAAGGCCCTCGGCGAGATGGATTGGTTCTGGGGCTGCAACAACGGGCTCAGACCTAACAATTGGGAAGATGGCGCAGGATGAGGCATTGCTTCCTTCTGTTGTCTGTAGGGTCTCTGAGTTG